AGCTAGGGCCTCCATATTCTCCTTTTGATTTAGATAGAGTTAAAGGGAAAGTTACCAGACTAAACAATTTTGAATTGGAGAAAACAGATTTGCAGTATTTTGAGGGAATCCTGTTATATTTACTCAACCCTTAAAAGTCTGTTAGGGCCCTGGTCTATTTGCTAAAGTTGACTGTGTGTACTGGTATTTTTTCCCCTCTTAGATCACCTACCTTTTTGAGTTTCCATCCTTTCCCTAGACTCTTCTATTTATCCAGTTTTCATTCATTTATTAGTAATTTTAAAACAATTGACAGGTCCTGACATAGACTGTAACAAAATAGAGCCCTGTTCTTTTCCTAGGGCCCCCTGCACCTCTGATTACCCACAGTGCCATCTGACTTATACAAGACAAGTGTAAGTCAGATGGCACTGTGGGGTAATCAGAGGTGCAGGGGGCTAGGGACTCCCCTCCTCCAGTCTGGATAATCTGAAAAGGCTTCTAAGAGGAGGTGATTTGTTTTGGTAGCTTTTCTATTGTCTCTCATCTTCTGAAGTTACCTATTCCTAGAAGCCCTGCTCTGTTAAATTTTCTACTCTCTTCCTGTCCCGTTTAAAACTAATTTGCTTATCTGTTAAAGTAAAATTTAAACAAAGACATAAATGAGGATTGCTCTTTTTAAAGGAGAAATTGTGAAAATGATAGGGGTTAGTTAACAAACATGCAGGCATTGATTGGTTTTCACTGATGGCTGTACATCTGGTGAGGAAAGTCCAAGGGCAGCTCACCTTCCGTCAAATAAAACTAGAGGCGGGGGCAGAAATCGGGCATGAGCAGGGTTCCGAGGCCTGGCGGCCCTGAGGGCCATCACGGCCTTCCCCCTGCGGGCCCAGGCCTTCCTTCCCTGGCTGCCAGCTGGGCCTTCTTTCATTTCGTATCGCCCTCTGGTGGTCATCACATTTCATAGCAAGTGATCAAACTTCGGGTCTCTCGGTTGAACTCCCAAGGGGACACTTAGCATATTATATTAGCCTTTTATGTCGATAGATAATACTTAACATTTATGAACCCTTAGTATGTGGCAGGCATTAAATAATCACTTTATGCTCATTGTATTACAGTGAAACACAAACTCTTAACCTTCACTTGCTCTCATTTTCACCAGCACCCGGTTCTCTAAAGCAGTGGTCACCAACCGGTGGTTTGTGAAGTCTGAAAGGTTGGTGACTGCTGCTCTAAAGTAACCTGACGATGAGTCTGTGAGTGGCTGACACAATGAACACCAAGATTAGAACCTTCACTTCACTGACTTGCAGTTGGTGGGAGAACTGGGGGGTGGATATAGTATGAAGTGTGTGTGTGTGTGTGTGTGTGTGTGTGTGTGTGCGCGCGTGCGCGCGCGTGTATTCAGTGTTGCAGTTGTCTTGATTTTTATTTTAAAGTCATAATATATAATTCATTTTGAAATTTCAAGTAACTCTGGAAAGGAGGACATCGGGTATTTATGTTTTCAAAACCACATTTAGAAAAATATATTTTAATGATTTTGTACAGAGAGGAAGGGAGAGAGATTGAAAGCTAGAAACATCGATGAGAGTCATCGATCAGCTGCCTCTTGCACACCCCCTACTGGGGATGTGCCCGCAGCCAAGGTACATGCCCTTGACCGGAATCGAACCCGGGTCCCTTCAGTCCCCAAGCCGACGCGCTATCCATTGTGCTAAACCGGTCTCTGCCAAAACCACATTTTAAAAATTATATTTATTGGGGTGCCATTGGTCCACATAAACATACAGGTGTCAGGTGTAGGCTTCTCTGTGACAGGATCTGTGTATGGCACCGTGTGCCCGCCACCCAGAGTCAGATCCCTCATATTCACCTCATATCAGGACGCCTTCTCTGCATCCCCTTCCCTCTGGCAGCCACCACTGCTGTGTGCCACCAGTTTCCGTTTTATATCCCACACGGGAGTGAGGTCCTAGGGCTCCGATTTTCTCACTGTGATTTCACTCACACCCTGCTCTCAAGGTCCCGCCCTGTGGTTGCAAATGGCGCTATTTCATCCTTTCTGATGCTGAGTAGTATTCCACTGTGTGTGTATGGTCCAGCCATCCCTCCCCTGGGTATACACCTGAAAAAACCTTGAAGTCATGTATTCACGGCGACATAGGCGCCCCTCAGCACTGGTCCCGGTGCCACTACATGGAAACAGCTGAAGTGCCCTTCCACGGAGGACTGGATAAAACCAGGGGTCTTAAAGCTCCCTGTGAAACACTGAGCTTGGCCTATTTTGAGGTTCTCTCATTCCTATATTTGTTGTATTCCATATTAGAAATTTATAAAGAATGCCTTTTTTCCTTTTTTTTTTTTTGTATTCATATCCATTCCATTTATAGTTTTTTCTAGTTACTTGAAGGAAGCAACATTAAGCGAAGGAAAATGGCTGGTTTTGAGGGGGTGTCTTCCCTACCCTCATCACAATGGACTATTTTGTGGGCGTGGTACATTCAGATGCTGCTTAGTATTTAGTAGTTTCTTGAGTTGAGTGGTGACATAGTTAATGTTGAAAATCAACTTCTTGATGTACAATTTACGTAAAATGAGTCATATCCATTTTAAGTGTGCAGTTCAGTAAGTTTTGACAAATGAATATACTCACGTAACCATTACCTTAATTAAGGACCGGACATTCCCATCACTCTCCCAGATTCCTTACTGTCCCTTTTGCACTCATTCTCCCATCCTGCCCCAGGAGCCACACGCCTGCATTCTGTTACTGTAGTTTAGTTTTGTCTGTTTTACATGGGAATCAAACGGTGTTCACTGTCTTTTGTATCTGCTTTCCATTGCTTAGCATTATGTTTTTGTGATTAATTTGCTGCATGTGCCTAGTTCTTGTTTTATTTCCTAGTTTTGGGGTTTTAGGAACATTTGTCTACTAGTCTTTATATGCATATGAGTTTTCATTTCTCTTGGAATGAGATTGCTGGGTCAGATATAAATACATGTTGAAATTTCTCAACTATTTTTCAAAGTGTACCATTTACATTCCCTCCGGATGTATGAACATTCTAGTTGCTCCACAGCTATGTCAGCACTTGGTGTTGTCACTCCTGTTTTCAGTCATTTCAGTTAGTGTACATGGCATCGCAGCGTGATTTTAACTTGCATTTTTCTGATGCCTGTAGATATTGAGCACCTTTGCATGTGCTTATTATGCATTGGTATTTCTTTGTGATGTGTTTATTGAAATCTTTTGTCCCTTTTAAAGCAGCGCTCGCCAAATGGTGGTCCATGGACCATGGTGATCTGTGAGATCTGAAAGGTTGGCGACCATTGTTTAAAAGATCTTCCGTTATTAAACTGTACCGCTTTTAAAATATGTAATTTGGATATAAGCATATTTGTTTGTGAATGTTTCCTCCCAGACTGTGGTTTTTCTTTCATTTTCTTAGTGTCTTTTAGAAGAGCAAATGTTCTAAGTTTCAGTTCAGTTTACCAGTTTTGTTTTTTTTTAGTTGGTACATTTTGCATCCTCAATTATCTCTGCCTACCCTAAGGTCGTGGAGATTTTTTTCTGTGTTTTCTCATGAAAAATTTTAGCTTCATGTTTAGGTCCATGATCTGTTTAAGTTAAATTTCATTTAGGGTTATGAGTTAGAATTAAAGGTTCATATTTTTCATGCTGGCATCTAGTTATATTCTTTCATCTGCAGTAGGCTCACATACGTGTGACATTTCATTACCAGCAAGAAATCTATGTAAATCTATATAAAAATAAGCAGTCTTTAACATACACTTGGTTTTGTAAAAGATGATGGCTCTGTATAAATCCTTTACTATTTTGAAGAATATTTTCTAACCATTATTATACCTACTGTTTTACAGCTGTTTATATATTGATGTTATATGTTTTTATTGATTTTAAAGAGAAAGGGAGAGGAATAGAAACATCCATCGGTTGCCTCATGCATGCCCCTACTGGGGATCAAGCCACAACTTGGCCTTGTGCTCTGACTTGGAATCCAACCAGAGACCTCTGATGCAGGAGATGATGCCAGACTAACTGAGCCATACCAGCCGGGGCTGAATTTGGATTTTTGGTGAAATGATTAGAATCTGTGAAACTGGAAGTATGTATTGAGTCTTCCATTAACACAGAGTTGAGGATCTTCATCTCTGATTCATAATAAAAGAGCTGGGCACTAATCAGGCTTCTTCCGTCATGGACATGCCTGTCCTTTGACGGGGCCTCTTCCGCTCACCTTGCCTTGACAATTTTCGTTTGCCTTGACAATTTTCGTTTGCTGTTTGACTGGAAGGAAAATAACTGCTCCTGTGGAGTCAGGTCAGTAAAGAAAGAGATGAAAGAGTTGGTGGAGCTCACAGATTCTTTATTTTTTCTACTTCTTTATCTTTCCTGTTTATTTTTTTCTTTGAGCCAAGGTTTTTCTGCCCTTTGTAGCTTTCCTTTTTTTTTTTTTTTTCTTTCTTTTGGGAGAAAAGTGGCAGGAACCCTGCAAGCACCTTCTTTCTTTATGTAGTCTGTGTTTCTGAGTATATGTCCCTGAGAGGGAGATGGGATTTCTCTAGAATTTACTATGGGCTCCTTCTAGCTTAATGTCCCAAAATGTTTTGGTTGTGCATTTTTTTGGGGGGTGGGTATTAAGAGCACCAAAACTGGGTGGTAGAAGGGGAGATTTTACATTACCAATAGCGTAGACGTGCTGTGGGCGTTTCTTATGACTGTCTCCTCTCCAATACTTTTTCTTTCCAGTTTGCCAGAGCTGTTCATCTTGGGCCCCTTCCACGCTGCCTCTGCAGTGAGAGACCATATGTATGACTGCGTCATGTTCTCATGTTTGTTTTGCTCATGGGTTCAGTGCTCTCGTTTTATATATGGGTTTCATGTGCTGCCTGGTATTTCTTCAGAAAGAATACAGTTCTTTGCTGCTATGTAATTATTATCTTTTTTCCCTTTGTTTTTCTCTTTCTTCTCTCTGTCCTGTGGTTCTATGCAGGTCTTGTTCAGCGCTGTGTGATCATCCAGAAGGGTGACAATGGATTTGGACTGACGGTCAGTGGAGACAACCCAGTCTTCGTACAGTCTGTCAAAGAAGGCAAGGCATTTTAAAACTGTCTTGTCACTCGAGAGCAGAGTAAGAACAGAAAAGTACAAATAAAATCTATTGCCCAGAATAACACAGTCATCTACAGTGCAGGCTATAGAGCCGTGTTGCTAGATTTGTCTTTAGTATCGTAGTTGTAGTCACGAGTTCCCCATTGGTTTTCTTTGCACTCTATAGAAATCATAGCACTCTGAGTTGTGATCCTTTATGCACCATCACTTACAGAAGTTTGTTGAGTATTATTTCTTTAGAGATGGTTGGTAGAGACAGATTTAGCAGATGGTTATAGGCTCAAAAATATCTATTCTTTTTCCAAAACAGCAACAGTATCTTTTACTGATATTACGTATATTGAATACTTACTTCATGCTGGGTGCTGTGACTTGAGGTAGTATTTTTATCCTCCGTTTTATAGGCAATATTGAGGCTTAGAGTAAAAAACATAAAAGCAGTCCTAGGTCACACAGCTAGTGAGTGGCAGGGGCAGCATTTGAACCCCAGTCTGTCTGACTTGACAGCCCATGTTTGTGAGCACTTCCTTATGCTCCTCTCTTCAAGAACTTGTCAATCAATGCCAATGAGTTACATCTTAATTAACTAATTTCTCTTACAGATGGAGCAGCCATGCGGGCTGGAGTACAGACAGGTGATCGAATCATCAAGGTAAGGAAACAACCACTATAGAATTTATGGTAGAATTAAAAAAAGAAAACACAGCATATATTAGCCACATTTTTTTTCCCACTTGGATTTTTGTAAAACGCAGCATATGTTGGATTTGTGGTCTATAAAAACTCACTTTAAAGAAATATTATCCTATACTGAAAGGCATAAAAAGGGCTTGAATAAATGGAGTAATATATGATCCTGGATAGGAATGTAATTCACTGTTCTAAAGATCATTTCTCTCCATATTATTGTTATTATTATTATTTTAAATATATTTTATTGATTTTTTTACAGAGAGGAAGAGAGAGAGAGATAGAGTTAGAAACATCGATGAGAATCATCAACCAGCTGCCTTTTGCACACCCCTTCCTCCCTTCTCCCTTCCCCCTTCCCCCCTCCTCCCTTCCCCCTTCCTCCTTCCCCCCTTCCCCCTTCTCCCTTCTCCCCTTTCCCCTTCCCCCTTCCTCCCTTCCTCCCTTCCCCCTTCCTCCCTTCCCCCTTCCTCCCTTCCCCCTTCTCCCTTCCTCCCTCCTCCCTTCCCCCTTTCCCCTCCTCCCTTCCCCTTCCTCCTTCCTCCCTTCCCCCTTCTCCCCTTCCTCCCTTCCCCCCTTCTCCCTTCCCCCCTCCCCCCTCCTCCCTTCCCCCCTTCCTTCTTCTCCCCTTCCTCCCTTCCCTCCTCCCTTTCCCCTTCCTCCCTTCCCTCTTCCTCCCTCCTCCCTTCCTCCTTCCTCCCTTCCCCCCTTCCCTCTTCCTCCCTTCCCTCTTCCTCCCTCCTCCCTTCCCCCTTTCTCCCTCCTCCCTTCCCCCCTTCCCCCTTCCCCCTTTCTCCCTCCTCCCTTCCCCCCTTCCCCCTTCCCCCCTTCTCCCTTCCTCCCTCCTCCCTTCCCTCTTCCCCCTTCCCCCCTTCCTCCCTTCCCTCCTCCCTTCCCCCTTCCTCTCTTCCCTCTTCCTCCCTCCTCCCTTCCCCCTTCCTCCCTTCCCCCTTCCCTCTTCCTCCCTTCCCTCTTCCTCCCTTTCCCCCTTCCTCCCTTTCCCCCTTCCTCCCTTCCCCCTTCCTCCCTTCCCCCTTCCTCCCTTCCCCCTTCCTCCCTTCCCCCTTCCCTCTTCCTCCCTTCCCTCTTCCTCCCTTTCCCCCTTCCTCCCTTCCCCTTTCCCCCTTCCTCGCTTCCCCCTTCCTCCCTTCCCCCTTCCCTCTTCCTCCCTTCCCCCCTCCTCCCTTCCCTCCTCCTCCCTTCCCCCTTCCTCCTTTCCCCCTTCCCCCTTCCCCTTCCTCCTTTCCCCCCTTTCCCCTTCCTCCATTCTCCCCTTCCTCCCTTCCCCATTCTTCCCTTCCTTCCTGCTCCCTTCCTCCCTCCTCGCTTCCCCCTTCTTCTCTTCCCGCTCTCTTCCTCCCTTCCTCCCTCCTCCCTCCTTCCTTCCTTCCCTCCCTCCCTTCCTCCCCCACCCACAGACAACTTTTTCATCAGAGATCTTTGTAAAGTTCATTTGAAAGAATAATCAGACAAGTAATGACAGACCTTCCAAATTCTAACAGTATATTTTAAGGAGAATTGTTAAAAAATAATATGGAGAGCTGAAACCGGTTCCTTCCTTCCTCCCTCCCTCCCTCCCTCCCTCCCTCCCTCCCTCCCTCCCTCCCTCCCTCCCTTCCTTCCTTCCTTCCTTCCTTCCAACATTTTTATTGATTTTAGAGAGGAAGAAGGACAGAGAGAGATAGAAACATCAATGATGAGAGAAAAGCATTGATTGGCTGCCTCCTGAATGTCTCCTATCAAGCCTGCAACCCAGGCAGGTGCCTTTGACCAGAATCGAACCTGAGACCTTTCAGTCCACAGGCTGCAGGCTGACACTGTCCACTGAGCCAAACCAGCTAAGGCTCATTTGATTTCTTGGAACAAAATTACTATCCAGGAAAAGATACCATGGATATACTTACAAAGAATACTTGAAACATATAATATTATACAGTATATCCTTAATTATAAGGAGCACTTTTCAAATACCTGTACTAAGAAAAGAATAAACTAATAGAAAAATGGGCAAATAATTTTGTCAGGCAATTCCACAAAGTAATTGAAATAAGTAATATATTAATAAGAATATGTCCAACTTCACTACTAAATTAAAGACACGAAAATATAATTGGTTGTCAGAAATTCTAAAGATTGATGATATGTATTAGGAATAGTTTGGGCATGGTAAAATAGCTACTCTCATAAGTTGTCATGGGTATAAATCTGGATGGGACTTGTGAATATGTATAAAAAATTATATACTTTAAGTATATTACCTTTGACCAGCAAATTTGCTTTTAGGAATATAAGGAAATAAGTATACAATCATGAAATGTGTACAGGGAAATTCATTTCGGCTTCATCATATTGACAACTTATAAACAACCTATATATACATAAACAGAGCTAGAGAAATAAATTGCATTTTATCTGCAGCTTTTAAGAATGTGTATACCTATAATGAAAGATATACACAATACAGTGAAAAGTATTTACAGAAAAAAGACAGTAATAATTTAGGTGTTGTGTGTCTGAGTATGTGGTGTATGTGTGCTAGAATAGTGTCTAGGATTAAACATGGTTAACAAAGGTGGTCTCTGGTAGTCATGATGAGTATACCTTTATTTATGGTTTATACACTGACTAGAGGCCAAATTCTTACAAGGGGAAGAGGTCTCCTCAGCCCAGTCTTCACCCTCTCCAATCCAGGACCCCTTGGGAAATGTCCGACCACAGGCTCCTAACTGCTCACCTGCCTGCCTGCTGATCACCCCTTACTGCCCCCATGCTGGCCTGGTCATCCCCAATTGTCCCCCCGCTGGTCTAGTTGCCCCTAATTCTCCCCTCCCCCCTGCCCCATCGGCCTAGTCACCCATCACTGCCACCCCTGCTGGCCTGGTTGCCCCATGCAGCCTGCCTTTTGGTGGTTTGGTCGCCCCTCACTAAACCACCAGCTGGCCTGCTCACCCCATGCAGCCTGCTGCTCAGTTGTTAGGTCGTTCCTCACTAACCTCCCTGTGAGCTTGGTTATCCCACACAGCCTGCTGCTCAGTCGTTTAGTCCCTCCTCACTGCCTCCACCCACACCTTCCCTCCTCCAAATCTCTCCCCCCCCCATCCCCAACAGCATGGTTGCCACCAACTCCCCCCCTCCCCGGGCTTGATTGCTCCTTGCAGCTTGCTGTCTGGTCATTCAGTCGCCCCTCACTGACCCCCTGCTGGCCTGGTTGCCCCATGCAGCCTGTTCGGTTGTCAATTCAGTTGTGATGGCCACTTAGGCTTTTATTGTCATAGATAGTATTTTAACTTATAAAAATCCGAGAAAAGTAGTTTTAATGTTAGATCCCTGTTTCATATTTTTACCTTAATTTGTTTTGTACAGTGAAGACTTTGGATAACATTTTCTATTGATTTTTTTTTTTTTACAGAGAGGAAGGGAGAGAGATAGAGACTAGAAACATCGATGAGAGAGAAACATTGACCAACTGCCTCTTGTACACCCCCCACCAGGGATGTGCCCGCAGCCAAGGTACATGCCCTTGACCGGAATCGAACCTGGGACCTTTCAGTCCGCAGACCGACGCTCTATCCACTGAGCCAAACCGGTTTCGGCTGGATAACATTTCCTACATTTAGCCTCTCTGAAAATATTTTCTTTATAAAAATTAGGTCATAATTGGGAAACTAAAAGTAAGTTGAATATTATTTTTGAAATAATTTTTTTTAATCTTTTAACAATGCATTGTGATTTTTACAAATCACTGAATTTATAATTAAAGGCAAAGAGATATTTTCTTTGTGCAAGAGCCATCCACTGTGAAGGTTTGTAAATCTGTTGTACGCTATGTTTCATCATCTGTCATGGTGAATACACTGCAATGCCCTTTCAGTCAAGGCCTTATTTTGCATTAAAGTTAATTTTGTTGCTGAGTATATCTGATGGGACACTGGTAAAAGTGAAATATTGAATCAGACATATACATATTTTAGTATTTACATAGTCCCATCTGTTGTATTCTAATTGACTATACTACATATAATAATTCCTGAAATCAGTTTACCTCTGTGTCTGTGGAATGTATCTGATATGCACTATTTTCATTTTCTTGCAGGTGAATGGAACTCTGGTGACTCATTCAAACCATCTGGAGGTGGTAAAGTTAATCAAATGTAGGTGAATGTTGCTGTTTTGTTTTCTGAAATATTTTCTATAATAGATAAAATATTTTAGGCTTTGCTGGCCCCATGGTTTACAATGTGACCTTGTCATTGTAGCACAAAAACAACGCTGAACAGTATGTAAATGAATGGATGTGTCTGTGTTTCAGTAAAGCTTTATTTGCCAAAATAGTCTGTGGCTAGGTTAAGCCACTTGGCTATAGTTTGATAAGTCCTGCATTAAAGGAAAGTCTTAGGTGAAAATTCTTAACCAAATACTTATTTCCTGTCACTTCATAGAGGTGATTGATTTTGCTGTCCTTGTTATCTTGGTAATAGTGAAAGCATATATTTGAAAGAAATGTCTAAGCCGCCTGAGGAGGGGAAGATTGGACACAAATGACTTAGGTCAGTGGTTCTCAACCTTCCTAATGCCACAACCCTTTAACACAGCTCCTCTTGTGGTGGTGACCCCTAACCATAACATTATTTTCGTTGCTACTTCATAACTGTAATTTTGTTCTGTTAATAAATCATAATGTAAATATCTGTGTTTTCCAATGGTCTTAGGTGACCCTGCTAGTGGATCTGAACCTGTGGGATCCCACAGGTTTGAGAACTGCTGCTGTAGAGCATTGGGAAGGTTGAGAACCACTGACCTAGATGAACAGAAACCCTTAAAAAATGTATATTCTTAAAATTCCCCCAAATCATAGTACTTATAACAATTAAGTGTAAAAAGAAAACATTTTTAGCACCTCAAATGTGGTGAAATAACTGACTGAGTTTCATAGTAATGTTAAATTGCCAAAAATGTTGTGAAATACTTTTATACTTTTAAACTTTTATACATTTAAAAGTTCTATTGAAAAGTTTAAGAGAAAGGTTTTTGTCAATTAAAGATCAGTTACCTAAAGAAGTAATTTACTTGGAAAAATCTCATTTTTTTCTTCATGCTAGATAACTAATGAATGTCTTCTGTTGAGTCTTTCTGGTCATGGTTAATGTTACTTTCTGTTTTCTCCAAAAAATATATATACACTAGAGTCCTGGTGCACAAAATTTGTGTATGGGGTGGGGTGTGGGGGTGATGTCCCTCAGCCCAGCCTGCAATCTCTCCAATCTGGGACCCCTCAAGGGATCAGGTCTAAATGGGCAGTTGAACATCCCTTGAGGGGTCCCAGATTGGAGAGATTGCAGGCTGGGCTGAGGAACACCCCCCCTTCCCCCCACACACACCCATGCACGAATTTAGTGCACCGGGCCTCTAGTGTATAATAAAAGGCTATTCTGCAAATCAACCAAACAGTGGAATGACTGTTGCTAGGATTGCACTGACCACCAGGGAGCAGACTCTCAATGCAGGAGCTGTCCCCTGGTGGTCTTTGTGTTCCTACAGCAGGAGTGTCGCTCAGCTAGAAGCTGGGCCCAGGGCTGGTGAGCACAGTGGTGGTGGCAGGAGTCTCTCCGCCTTTGCAGCAGTGCTAAGGACCCTCGGGATTTCCACCTGTCAGCTTGTGGTTTCTCATAGTGTTTTTTGTAGTACTTTTTAGAACACTTTGAATTTCTATGATGTCAGTTGTTCAACTCTTTCATTTCTGATTCTTTGTATTTGAACCTTCTCTGTTTTTTTATGAGTCTAGCTAAAGGTTCATAAACCTTGTTTATATTTCCAAAGAACCAGCTCTTGGTTTCATTGCTCTTTTGCGTTGTTTTGTTTTGTTTTTAGTTTCTATGTCATTTATTTTTCCTTTGATCTTTATTTGTTCCTTCCATCTATCTACTTTGGGCTTTTCTTACTATTCTCTTTCTGATTCTTTTATTTGTAGGGTTACATAGTTTATTAGTCCTTTTTCTTGTTTCTTTAGGTAGGCCTATATTGCTGTGAATTTCCCTCTCAGAATTGCTTTCCCTGGTCATGTAGATTTTGGGTTGTTGTGTGTTCATTTTTATTTGTTTCCAGGATGTTTTTGATTTCTTACGTAAGCTCATTGGTAACTCATTCATTGTTTAATAACATGTTATTTAGCCTCCATGTGTTTGATTGTTTTTGAGTGTTTTTATTGTAGTTGGTAACTAGTTTATGCTATTGTGATCCAAGAAGATGATTAATATGAAATCAATCTTCTTGAACTTGCAGAGACTTACATTGTGTCTTAACGTGTCTGTCTTTGAAAAGGTCTTGTGTGCCCTTGAGAAGAACGTATATTTTGCTGTTTTTGGTGAAATGTTATATAAACTTTTAATTAAATTCATTTGATGTAGAGTCGTTTAAAGTCGTCATTTCCTGTTGGTTTTTGTTTGGAAGATATATCTGGTGATGTTAGTGGGGTATTGAAGTCCTCTGCCACTGTAATGCTGTTGATCTCTCCCTACGTGCTCTTATAGGGAGAGTATATATGTTTACATGGTTATATTATCTTGTTGGATCAATCCCATTAGTATTATGAAGTGACCTTCTTTGTCTCTTGTTATAGCCTTTGCTTTTAAGTCTATTTTGTCATATGTAAGTATTATATTTACGCTTTTCTTTATGTTTCCATATGCATGGAAAATTTTCCCATCTCTTCACTTTTATTCTGGTTGAGTTTTTTTTAATGAGATCTAACTCTTATAGAATCATATATATTGGTCATGTATTCTTATTCATCTACCCTATGTCTTTTTATTGGAGCATTTAATCCATTTATATTTAAGGTTATAATAGAGTAGAGGCTCAATCCATGAACATTTATGCACTAGAGGTGGTGTCCTTCAGTCCGGTCTGCCCCTTCTCACAGTCCGGGAGACCTCAGGAATGGGAGGCGGCCCGGTGATCAGCGGAAGGCGATGCCCCCATCATATCTCTGCTGCTGCCATGCCAGCAGAGCAAGCCGTAGGCAGCCTTGGATGGCTGGGCAGCCACCATCCAAGGCTTGCCTGTACCTTGGGCCCACCCTGGGCGGCTGGGCAGCTGGGCAGCTGACATCTGAGGCTTTCCTGTGCCGCCATCCAAGGCTTGCCTGCGTCTCGGGCCAGCCCTAGGTGGCTGTGGGGCTGAGGGCTGGTCTAGCTGCACTGAGTGCCTACCCTCTCCTCCCCCCCTCCCACTGGGGCTGAGGGGACTGGGCACCACCATCAGTGGCTATGGGCACTGCCATCTTTGTTCTATTTGCATATTCCCTCTTTATTCTATAGGATAGGTACTTATTTCTTGTTATTTGTATTCTTCATGGTTTTGGTCCTCTCTCATTCTATTTCTTCTTATAGAAATCCTTTTAGCATTTCTTGCATTGTAGGGTTGGTGGTGGTAAACTTCTTTAGCCTTTTTGTTTTTTTTTTGTCTCGGAAGCTTTTTATTTCACCTTTAATTTTGAATAATAGCTTTGCTAGATAGAGTAGTCTGGGTTTCAGATCTTTACTTTTCATTCCTTTCAATATTGCCTGCATTCCCTTCTGGCCTAAAGTTTTTCTATTGAGAACTCATTTGAGAGCCTTATGGGAGCTGCCTTGTAGGTCACTGATTATCTCTCTCTTGCTGCCCTTGAAATTATCTCTTTGTCTTTAACACATTAGGCACCCAGCCTGCTTTGGATGGAAAGTATAGTGTCAGTCTCTGGTGACTGCCATGGGTCTTAACGTGTTAATGTTTGCTATGTGCCTATGTGCCTTGGAGTTGAGTTTCTTTGGGTTCATATTGATTGGTACTTTCTGTGAGTCCCTGAGCTTGTGTGGCTTTTTCCTTTACCAGGTTAGGGATGTTTTCTATCATCATTATTTTAAGCAGGTTATGTATTCCTTGCTCACTGTCTTTTCCCTTTAGTGACCTTATGATGTGGATGTTGTTTCATTTGATGGTATCCCTGAGTTCCCTTAGACTGTCCTCATGTTTAAGATTTTTTCTTTTTGCTGCTCTGATTGACTGTTTTTTTTTCTACCTTGTCTTCTTATTCACTTATTCTATCCTCTGCCTCATCAAGCCTGCTTTTAATTCCTTCCAGTGTATTCTTGATGTCCTAAATAGTATTCATTTCTGCGTGGCTCTGAATTCTATGGCTTTTTTTCATGCTGAGGTAGTTCTCACTAAGTTCCTTGTCATTCTCACTATGTTTCTTGAGCATCTTTATAACCATTATTCTGGACTGTATGTCTGATAACTTTCTCACCTCCATCTTATTTATGTCTTTTTCTGGCTATACCTCCTTTCCTTTAAGTTGGGAGTTGTTTCTTTGTCTCTCCTTTTTATGTATCTCTTTGTGTTTGTATCTGCAAATTAGCTATACTTGCTGTGACTCGCAGTCTTCTTGGGGCGGGCTTTTTTACTACATGTTCTGTGGACCCAGTGTCCTCTACTGCTGAGTTGTATGCCCTAAGAGTAACCCTTTTGTGGGTTATTTGGGCTCTCCTGTTATAATTTGGTCTCGATTGTTGTTGTACTGTTTGTGGGTGGGCTCTCCTCTCAGGATGGCTAACTGTAAGGCTCACCCATATCCATGTTGTTTGAGCTGTTTTACATATTCTAATAAGGAAAACAACCACAAAAGTGAAGAGAATTTCTAAAGAGATAAGAAAACAAGAATAGTAAACAAAAAGAAAGAGAAAAAGGTAATATTACTAATAGCAAAATGAAAAAAAAAGAGAATAGTGGAAAAGTGGCAGAAAAAATTATTAAAGAACAAAGGGAGAGCAAGGAAAAAGTATGAATAGAGAGTAAGAAAAGGAAAATGGTAAAAAAAAAAAAAAGACAAGAACACAGAAAGAAAGGGGAAAAGTTATGCAGTAATTAAAGGAAGAAAGGTAAAGGTAAATTGATAAAGACTGAACAGGAAAAAGAAATAAAAGGAAGGAGGCTTATAAGATATGAGAGAAAAGAACCAAGATATTAATGGCAATAATACTAAAGTAATAAGGAAGGAAATATTGAAAAAAGAACAACTAGATCCAGCCCCGCGGCACTCATCTGGGTGAGACATGATCAGACGCACGGTCTGTATTTGGATTTCAGGCTTCCGGGAGGTCCTTCTGTGTCAGCCAAATTTGATTTGGCTCTGGGTGACCTGTCCTGCGTTGGTTAGTCTGAGGCTTTCTGAGGTCCGCTCCACAAGTCAGCTACTCCCCCCCCCCCTCCCCCCCCCCGCCAAGTGCCTGGTTTTCCTCCAGTGTTTTCTAAAGAGTCTTCAGGGTGAAGCCAGGCGAGCACAGCTAGAGCTAGTGGGCCCCGGCTTAGAGATGACTCATTAGGCTCTCACTGAGGGGGAGTGCATCTGCTCCGTAGCCACACCTCAGTCTACCGCATCTTCCAACTCTAGTTCCCTGTCAGGTGACCCGGTGCAGGCTCAGGTTAGACATGGCCCGCCACCCATTCTGCAGGAGAAGTTTCTGCTGCCCTGGCTCAGGGGGATTTATCAAAAGAGATCCCGATTGAGAATGTTGCCAGTCTCATCCCCAGGACCGGGCTAAGCCTTTTCTGCTGCTAGACAACGGCCTCTGAGGGTCTTACTCTCAGGATGTCCTACTCTGTGCTGTTTTACTGCCCCCCCCCCCCCAAGTGTGTCCAGCAGGGGACCTGGTCTCCTTCAGGTAGGGGTGTTCCTAGCCCACAAGAGGGGGAGACAAGCTCCGCCCCTCCTTCCCGGGCCTGGCCGCCTGGACACACACGGAGTTTGGATGGGTTTCCACAATGCAGTCACAAAGCCAGCTCTCCCTCCTCTGTCTCCGCAGAAGCCTTCCCATGGGATCGCATAGAAAAGCTCAGCTCTGCCAGGACTGGTGCCCTGTGCCCCTGGTCCAAGCAGACGGATTACGAAGTCGGTCCCACTCAGGACTGTATTCTCCACTGGCTGGTCTCAGTACAGTGAGGCCAGTTACCCCAGCTCCACCTGGGTTCCCTTCTCTTCAGTGCAGGCTTAAGATCCCCATCTAGCCTCACTGGTGTTGCTCAGTGGATAGTGCCTTGGCCTGCAGACCAAAGGGTCCCAGGTTTGATTCTGGCTAAGGGCACATACCTTAGGTGCAGGCTCTTCCCCAAGCCAGGCCCTGGTTAGGCTCTTGCAGGAGGCAGCCAGTCAATGTGTTTCTCTCACATCGATTTTTCTGTCTGTCTTTCCCTCTTTCTTCCACTCTCCCTAAATATCAATGGAAAAACATCCTCAGGTAAGGTTAACAAAATCTCATCTAATAATAAACATGTAAATTGATTATACCTTCGCTATGCCCATAGCCAATCAGAGTACGCAAATTAACCCAAAATATGGTGGTTAATTTGCATACATAGGCTCCCAGCGCCTGTGTCCCAGGAACATCCTGGCACCCAGGTCACTGTGAGGTAAGGCAGCCTAGGAAGGGTCTGAGCCAGGAGGCTCTTGGACAGGGCCAAGCCTGCAATCAGAACGAGGGGGCATGAGCGGAGCCTGCCATTGATTGCAGGGAGCTGGGCGCCCGCTCCTGCGCAAGGTCGAAAGCCTGCACCTTGGCCGAAAGCCTGCAGTCGATTGCAGGGAACTGGGCTCCACTCCTGCCCACGCGGGAGGCTTGGGCCTTGGGCAGGAGCGGAGCCTGTGATGGATCACAGGGAACTGGGGGTCCCCGGCCCATGGGGCACAGCCTGCAGTCACAGGGAACCTGGGGTCCCCTGCCCAAGGCTTTCAGTCTGGGCAGCCTGGGCAGGGGTGGAGCCGGTGATCAGTGGGAGCTGGAGGACCCTGCCCAGGCCTAAAGCTGAGACCAGAGGCCAGAGGCCTGGGCAGGGTCCAGCCGGCAATTGGTGTGAACTATAGAGGAAACACCTTTTCTGACCGCTCACTGGCTAAGCTTCCTGTATGCCACTGGTAATATTCTTAGTGACTTGGGTAATAAGAACCCAAGGAGGTGAGCTAGGGTTTTTCCACCTCACTCCTGGAGGAAAAAGTAAGGTCCACTGCTGGAGGGGCTAAGAAATGTCATATCCTGTCCTGGCCAGTTTGACTCAGTGGATAGAACCTCGGCCTGATGACCACAAGGTCTGGGTTCGATTCTGATCAAGGGCATGTACCTAGGTTGCAGGCTCCTTCCTGGCCGGGGCCCAGGTCAGGGCTCATGCAGGAGGCAACCAATAGAAGTGTCTCTCTCACACTGATGTTCCTCTCTGTCTCTCCCTCTCCCAAGCTCTCTAAAAGTCAATGGAAACATATCCTCAGGTGAGGGTAAGAATAAATAAAGAAAGAAATACATATCCTATGAAAGACACATCTTGAAAATGCCTAAAGAAAGTTGTCATTTTTTCTTGGTGAAGGGACTGGAGTCCGTGTTGATGAAAACACCTTGGAGGCTGTGGTGACTGGCAGGGGCTGCAGCAGTGGGTGATGGGGCTGGTGCCCTCCCCTGATCAGACTGCAGTGTATGCCCACTCCCCATGGGCCTAGACATCCCCTGAGGGCTTCCAGTATATGAGAGGGGACAGATTGGGCTGAGGGACCCTCCCCAACCCCAGTGCATGAATTTCGTGCACCAGAACCCTAGTAATAAAATCCCCTGCCTGCTGCCAACCCTGCGGCTCCATAAGTGCGGGCGGGGTCCCAACCCTGCACTTACAGGTGGGGACGCCATGCTCTTTGGATTCTGCACAAGCCTTTCAGGAAGGCCCAGCGTCCTTCAAACCACTGCTGGGTGCGGCCCTTAGGCCCTGTATGTTTTGAACCAAACACTGCTGTGCAGCCTCTGCAGTCAGAGCTTGCAGCGAATCCCCTTGGGGCAGCCAGCACCTGGCACATTCTGTCATGGGGAAGGGAGGACCCAGCCTTCTAGGCAGCCAGAGCCCCCTGGGCCTCTTTGCCCAATGCTGTGTGGGTCTCCTTCCAGTCTCTGCTGCTTGGGGTTGGGGGTCCCTGCGTGGAGGGCACTTTGCAGCCAATATCACTTGGGCCTCAGCTGAGCATCCGCCCCAGGGGATCCTCCTCTTACAGTCTCTGTGCTGTTTCTCCAGTGCTCCTTAAACACACATGTCCAGTCAGCAGCACTCCTACTTTTCCAGGCAGCCACGCAGCAATTCAGCTGTAAGGCCAGCCGGGCTGGGAGCACGGGCACGGAGTCTCCTGGTCCCACAGCCATCTTGCCCCATCAGTTTTCTCCAAGTTTTAAAAATAAAACTCGTTACTTAATTATTGACGGTTTTGTGGGATACTTTTTGTCAATCTTATTTAGTAAAGTTAATTTAAAATGGCATTATATTCTAGATAATTAATTAAACTGCCTAATTAATATCTTTAAATGGTTTTTAAAAATTTGCATTTAAGGAAAAATTTTTTAAAAATATTTTTATTGATTTCAGAGAGGAAAGGAAAGGAGAGGGAGAGAGAGAGAGAGAAACATCAATGATGAGAGAGAAGCATTGAAGAGCTGCTTTCTGTATGCTCCCCACTGGGGATCAAGCCTGCAATCTGGGCATGTGCCCTTGACTGGAATCAAACCCAAAACCCCTCAGTCTGTCTGCCAACGCTCTATCCACTGAGCAAACTAGCTAGAGCTTTGCATTTATGAAATTAATTAAACATAGCCATTAGTAGATGGTTGATATTAATTCACTCTTCTCTAATTAAAAAATTGGGGGGGTTACATTTTATTTGCTTTTAAATAATATGAGTAGTAATATGCTATCTGAAAATAACATTGTTCTTTTAGATTCTTAGAGAATTCATAAAAAAGCACTGGGTGGTTTTTATGTGGGCCAGTGGTTAGCAGTCAGTGCAGCTTTCTCACATGACTGGGTACTTTTAGAACTGTCAAAGGCTAAGGAGTAAAATGCTGTAGAAACTTGTTTACAGGGTTCCTTTCCCTTTCTTCTCTCTCTCACCCAGCTGGTTCCTATGTAGCTCTCACTGTTCAAGGACGCCCCCCTGGGATGCCCCAGATCCCTCTTGCTGATTCTGAAGTAGAGCCATCCGTCACTGGACATATGTCTCCTATCACGACCTCTCCTCACTCACCGGGAGCATCTGGGAACATGGAGAGAATTACCAGTCCTGTGCTCATGGGGGTAAGAGCGGGAAACGTCTTTGCAAACTCAGTTGCATAATACCTTTACTTTTTATATTCAGAATTTTGTGATATTGAGCTGGTAAGCAAATTTAAGTTCAAGGTTCCAGAAAATAACTTTCTGATGTAATGATTACATAATACAGTTGACCTTCAGACAATATGGGTTTGAATAGTGCAGGTCCGCTTATGCATGGATTTTCTTTTCAATAAATACAGCCCTGTAAATGTAGTTTCTCTTCCTTATGATTTTCTTAATAACATTTTCTGTTCTCTAGTTCACTTTTTTGTAACAATTTAGTATTTAATACAAGTAACATACAAAATATGTGTTGATTGGCTGTTCCTGTTATTGGTCAGACTTCCTGTCAATAATAGGCTGCTAGTGAAGTTCTGGGGGAGTAGAGAGCACACGGAGCTTTTCGACTGCACGGAGGGCTGGCGTCCCTAATGCGCACAGTGTTCAGGGCCAGCTGTGATTTGGAATGATTGCTGAGTATTGGGATAGGAGATTTAATTTAAAAAATATTAAACACCTACTATCTACAAAACCATTTGCCTCTCACAAAAATATTTAAAATATCCTGTGTTCAAGTTCCATTCTTTGAAAGAACATGGGTTTTTTGTTTGTTTGTTTTGTTTATTATTGAGCCTCTATTTTCTGAAAAAAAGTACCTAGTGCTTGGCGTATAGTAGGTGCTTAATAAACCTTTGTTGTTTAAGATGGAGTCAAGTGTATACAAGTAATTATAATACATAGGCAGAATGTGACATGAGGGGAAAATAGTAAGTTCTATAAGAATTCCAAGGGTGGGGGAGTACATCCAGTTGTGAAAAGGAAGGATTTCGCCGAAAGCTATTTTATTAATTGAGCCTTGAAAAACAGGTAACGGGTAAGTGGTGGCAATGGAAACGAAGGCAGCTCAGTTAGAGGAGGTAGAGGGAAAGAGCCAAGAAAGCACCAAATACGTTTTGGAAGCAGCTGGTGCCCGTTAAGGATTTAGAAGTGGGAGAGGAGCTTGAAAACTTAGGACTGTTTGTTTTCACAAAACTCACAGCTGCAGGCTACTTTATAAGTAACTAGATCTGCAGTGAGAGCCATTAAAATGTCTTTTGAGCAAGAGAGTGTTATGGTTATAACAGGATTTTAGGAAGACTAGTTTGATTAAATAAAGGGTCATAAAACAAGGAGAGATGGTGTGAGGTCAGCAGGAATCCATGCATGGGGCTGACAGTAATGAGCTAACGATGGGAAACTGTATTATTCCTATACTTAAGTCAGCTTCATTTTCCCAACTAATATAAGTACTTAATGTTTTCTTGTGTCTAGTTTAGGAAAAGTGAAAAGGGCTAAAATTTCCCTGCAATCTTTTATCTCTCATGTCATGTCTAAAAGTCCATTCTTATAAGTGATGGAAATAAAGAAAATCGTAATAGATATTGAAAAACCCAGAGCTGGGGTATAGCATTATATGTGTCGTTTTCCTTATTTATTTTAGCTTCACTTTCCCTGTGTTGGTTCATTTTTGTTTGTTGGTTTTTTTTTTTTTTTTTTTTTTTTTTTTTTTTTTATCTTTTTCTAGGAGGAAAACAATGTGGTTCATAACCAGAAAGTAGAAATTCTGAGAAAAATGTTACAGAAAGAACAGGAACGGCTGCAGGTACTGCCTTAGGAAAGGGCTGTGTCCAGGCAGTCAGAATGCGACTGGCTTCTCAGAGTCGCAGGCCATCAACTGTTTGATTAAGAATAGACTTTCTCTATTTTCTTGACATAAGCAATCAATTATTAAAATGTTTTTATAACTTTTCAGTTATTGCAGGAAGATTACAACCGAGCTCCTACCCCAAAGTTGCTAAAAGAGATCCAAGAGGCCAAGAAACTCCTCCCTCAGCTGCAGGAGCAGCTCTCCAAAGCCGCTGGCCCCCCGCAGGTAGCAACCCTGGGAGCCTCCGGCCTGTGCGGGAGCACGCTCTGTGAGAGCGTCCAGAGCACGTAGCCCTGCTGTAAACTATTTCCTAACAGCGGCCCTGCGGAGGGCGTGGCAGAAAGAATGGTTCATTAATAGAAATGTGGGCTTTGATTATTGCCTTGCTCATGATTTAATGTTGTTTTTTTCACAATAATTTTAAAAAGACTCCTTTTGCTTTAATGTGACAAATTATTAAAATGTAATTTTTGAGGTTCCTTCTGCAATTATGTTTTTAAGTATAGTTATTAGATCTTACAAATGGGCAGGATTTCTTAGTCTGCACAGCAGCCCTCTTAGACTAGGAGCTCTGATGTCCCCCCATTTTACACACACACTTACAGAATTCAGAAAGGTGAAATAACTTGCTGAGATCGTGTAGCTCAGAAGCAATGGAACTGGAACTTAAACCCAGTCTGATGAATTCAAAGCACATTCACATTTCTAATACTCTCGTTTCGTTGTAATTTTAAAATAGATTTCAACTGAACTTGGTATGTAAATATACCGTATTTTCTGGCGTATAAGACGACCCCCTAATTTTACAGTTAAAACATAGGTTTAGGCCTACATTCGCTGTATAAGATACCCCCCACTTCCGAGGCAACACCAGTTCTTTTTTTAATAGACCGCCTCTCTGACTCTGGCCAATCTGAGCAGGCTTTTTACTAGAACACAGTGTAGCTTTGGGTACAAAACATGTACACTGTGTTCTAGTAAAAAGCCTGCTCAGATTGGCCAGAGTCAGAGAGGCGGTCTATTAAAAAAAGAACTGGTGTTGCCTCGGAAGTGGGGGGTAGTCTTATACAGCGAATGTAGGCCTAAACCTATGTTTTAACTGTAAAATTAGGGGGTCCTCTTATACGCCGGAAAATACGCTAAGTATGGAGATGATGGTGTCATTAAGAAAAATAGCTTAGCATTAAGTCTCAACCAGGTTTATATTCTACTAGAGGCCTGGTACACAAAATTCGTGCACAGAGGGCGGGGTTCCCTCTCAGCCCAGCCTGTACCCTCTCTAATCAGGGACCCCTTGGGGGGATGTCCCACTGCCGGGTTAGGCCTGATCCCGGCCTAAACTGGCAGTCAGACATCCCTCTCATAATTCTGGACCACTGGCTCCTAATCACTCACCTGCCTGCCTGCTTGCCTGGCCATCCCTCACTAACCCCCCTGTCGTCCTAGTCACTCCATGCAGCCTCTGGTCAGTCGTTTGGTCATCCTTTATTAACCCCCCTGCCGACCTGGTTGCCCCACGCAGCCTGCTTGTTCAGTTGTTTGGTCATCTCTCACTAACCCCCCTGCTGACCTTATCATCACCCCATGCAACTTGCTGTTCGGTTTTTACTGTGATGGCGTCCTGGACAATTTGTAAAATCCTCTATTATAGATAATATTCAGATGTAGGATATTTAGCTAAGGTGGTGAGAACTAGGGCCTAAACTGGTTACATGACTTCCACAAGATCACAGTCATAAGGTGTCCTGACTTGCTGGCTTAGTATAGTTTCTATTACACATTATTTATTTTTTCATCACTTTCAGTACCAAAAACATTCATAGATGTTTTTAGAATTACCCTTCAGTTTTGTTGCCAGTTTTATGTTATTACTGAGCATAGACAGCATTCTTACTGTCTTCAAATAGTAAAAGTGTGGTTCCTGATCTAAAAGCTTATCATTGTGGTATAGCATTGTGTCTCAGTATTTGTGATTTACTGAAATTCTGAAGTGTTGAAAGGCAGTGAAGCAGATGCTGTGTGTAATAATCTTATGAATGGGCAGGAAATAGAAATCATGTTTTTAAGTATAGTTATAAGATCTTACAAAATGTAGCTTAACAAACTGTTTTACCTTTATATTCTATATGGAAATACAAACTTTTTTCCTTCATGCTAAACTGTCTTTGATCATTGCCATTTTAGAACCACAGAATTAGTAGTTGTTTATGTTTTTAACTTTTAGATCTTTAGGTGTTCTTGATCACATCAAACTGGTGGGATGTTAGTGCTCTTTAGATTGTAGTGCAACTCCATTTCTTTATGCAACCCACAGTGAAAGTCTTGTTAATGTGTTTGTGTTTAAACCATCTTAGGATGGAGCTATAATCACATCCTCCAAGCCTTTCAATGACACCCCAGCAGTCAGTGAGGTGGAAGCAGACTCTGGTGACGGACTAGGCAGAGTTGACTGTAGCAGCGGAGATGCATCATGGCCCAGCAGTGACAATGCAGATGTAAGTTCCACATCTCTGTCTTCCCGGGTTCTTCTGAAAGCTGCTCTCTAGATTTAATTTTAAGTAGCATGAGTTAGAGTTATGTTCTCTTCCTGCTTTTTTTTTTTTTTTTTCCCTCTCCATTTTTAATGTAGCAATTGGATAAGCAGAAATTCTGGACATTGTTGTATAGGAACCTTTAATTCCAGAGCTCACTTTTCCCTGGCACACTATTGACACATGTTTCTTTAGAGGAGATGGAATTTCCCAGCAGGTATCTTGTTTGAGGGTAGAAAAGCTAATAACACAAGTGCTTTCTTACTGAACCGGAGGCCAGCTGTTGATATCTTTAAGAGCATGTTAATATTCCTTTTGTGGTCAGAGTTACTCAGTCTTGAAACATGGAGCTCTTTGCCGTTGCAAAGAGGAAAAGACTTAGTAGTTCTATAGGTAGAATTATGTTAATAGCACATGTTTAGTATTAGTTTCTTTTATTTATTTATTTATTTATTTATTTTTTATTTTAAATAAATCTTTATTGTTCATATTATTACAAATGTTCCTCATCCCCCCCCTCCATTGCTCCCCTCCACCAGGTTCCCACCCCACCCTCTGCCCTTTCCCATTGTCCTCATCCATAGGTGCACAGTTTATGTTCAGTCTCTTCCCACACCCTCCTCTCCCCTTTTCCCCAAGAATCGTCAGTTCACTCCCCTTCCATACCTCTGATTCTATTACATTCACCAGTTAATATTGTTCATCAGATTTTTTTTTAAATTCCCTTGGTTTTTAGATTCATTTGTTGATAGTTACGTATTTGTTGTTTATAGTTTTTATCTTTATTTACTTTCTCTTCCGAAAGAACCCCCTTCAGCAATTCATATAATTCTGGTTTGATGGTGATGAACTCCTTTAGCTTTTTTTTATTAGTGAAGCTCTTTATCTGGCCTTCGATTCTGAGTGATAGCTTTGCTGGGTAGATTATTTTTGGCTGTAGGTTCCTGCTATTCATCACCTTGAATATTTCTTGCCATTCCCATGTGGCCTGCATGGTTTCTGTTGAGGAATCAGCTGACAATCTTATGGGTGCTCCTTTATAGGTAACTACCTGCTTTGCTCTTGCTGCTTTTAATATTCTTTCTTTGTCTTTTGCTCTTGGAATTTTAATTATGATGTGTCTTGGTGTGATCTTCTTTGGATTCCTTTTGTTTGGAGTTCTGTGTGCTTCCTGGACTTGTAACTCTAATTCTTTCACCACGTGGGGGAAGATTTCTGTCACTATTTATTTCAGTATGTTTTCGATTTCTTGCTCTCTCTCATCTTCTGGGACCCCCATAATTCTGATGTTGGTTCGCTTGAAGTTGTCCCAGAGGTTTCTTACATTATCTCCAACTTTCTGGATTCTCTTGTTTTCTTGCTTCTGCGGAGGAGTGTCTTCTGGCTCTTTATGTTCCAAATCTTTGACTTGATTCTTGCGATCTTCCATTCTGTTTTTAGGACTCTGTATAATATTTTTTATTTCAGACAATGTATTCTTTATTTTTTATTGATCCCTTATTATTTCTTGTTGATCTCTTTTCATATCCTCATAGGTCTTATCGGCCTTTTCTAGGAAATTCTTGAAAAACCTTATAAGCATGGTTTTAAACTCTATGTCCAGTCTCTTCTTTTCCTCCATTTCTTTTGTTTGTGATCTGTTTCCTTTTCACAGCTTCCCTGAGTTGGTAGGGTGGCTTTGTGTGCTAAGGTGTCCTATATGGTTCAGTGAGCCAGCCTCCCAGTTACCTGAGGTGGACAGTCTTGGTGTAGCTCTTTGTGGGATGTGTGTGCAGTCTTGTAGTTAAGCCTTGCTTGTTGTTGGTATCACGGGGAAGCGTTGATCTCCAAGCTAATTGGCTGAGGATCAGAAGTGTCTCAGCTAGGAGAGTTTCTGTATTCCGCTTGAATGGGGCGGAGTGTCGCGGTGGCACAGACAAGCTTTGTTGAATCCCGCAAAATTGGTTGCAGGCGCGCGCACCTCTTTGGTATAGGCGCAGACAAGCTTTAGATTCCTGTCTGTCCCTCCCTAGGAGAGTCCTATTCATGGCGGTGGCGGTGAACAGGAAAGCTAGCCACTGGAAGGGCTTCTGTGCTCCGCTTGGATGGGGTGGAGTCTCGGGTGGTGCAGACAAGCTTTATTCAGCCCCTCCCTATGAGGGTCTGGTTTCTGAGTCCCGCAGTAATGGCCGCTGGCTTCACACACCTCCGAGAGATCTCTGCCCACTGCCTGACAGTCTGGCCTCTCCCTGTCTGGGGCCGTCTATCAGCGCAATAGGGTGCTTCCATTTTCCTCCCGAACAAAAAAGCCAGCCGCGCATTAGCTGTCCGCCCTCTCCGTGCGCAGGGAGTAAGCCAACAGCAAACTCAGCCCACCCTCTCCGTGCTCCGCAAGCAAGCCGGCAGCAAACCCTTCGGTCGCCTTTTCACGTGCGTAGTTCTCAGCACCTTCTCAGTTCCTGAGGTTCAGCACGCCTTCTTTCTCCTTCCCAGATGGTAGAGCCTCTTCTCAGCCAGCCGTCCGGCACTTCAGGGTGATGTTTCCCCTGTTTTCCAGTTCTAAATTCAAATTTGTTGTGGTAGGCTGCATTCTGGTGTTACATCTTGGTTTCTCCTGCCTAGTATCAGTTTCTTGATTAACCCAGAAATTGCTAGATGAACTTGGATATTTGTTAAAAGATATAATATTTGAAGTTGAATATGATGTGGCTTCATAGTCATATGAATACTTAAAAGCTAATTTCAGTGTTATTCAGCATTTCTTTGTAAGTAGTATGCAATGATAGAATAATGAATTATAAATAGATCACCTTTTTAAAAAAATAATGAGCAAAGTAGTCTAATGCAGCATTTTATTTTTTTTATTTCTTTTTCTTTTTTTAATTAAATTATTATCTGTGTACATATTTTAACATTGCCCCCTCCCACCCATAGATACTCTCCCTCCCCAGAGTTTTGTGTCCATTGGTTGTACTTATATGCATGTATACAAGTCCTTCGGTTGATCTATTATCTCCCCCAGATCTCCCTCCCCTCCCCACTGTAATTTGAGTCTGCTGGTTGCTTTACTGTCTCTATATCTATCTTTTGGTTCATCAGTTTATAATGTTATTATCCATAAATGAGTGAGGTCATGTGGTATTTCTCTTTCATTGACTGGCTTATTTTAGTCAGCATGATGTTCTCCAATTCTATCCAGGTTGCTGCAAATGATGAGAATTCCTTCCTTTTCATGGCAGCATAGTATTCCATTGTGTAGATGTATCATAGTTTTTTGATCCAATCATCTGCTGACGGGTACCTAGGCTGTTTCCAAATTCTGGCTAGTGTAGATTGTGCTGCTATGAACATAGAGGTGCATATATTCTTTCTGATTGGTGTTTCTAGTTTCTTGGGATATATTCCTAGGAGTGGGATTACTGGGTCAAATGGGAGTTTCATTTTCAGTTTTTGAGGAAACTCCATACTGTTCTCCACAGTGGTTGCACCAGTCTGCATTCCCACCAGCAGTGCATGAGAGTTCCTTTTTCTCTGCAACCTTGCCAACACTTATCGTTTGTTGATTTGTTGATGTTGGCTATTCTGACAGGTATGAGATGGTACCGTAATGCAGCATTTTAAAAATTGGTTTATGAAATCAATTTAGTTGGTTGGGACCAGCATATATTAAAAAAAAGAAAAAAGAATAGGAAATAAGAGTGCTGTGCATGTAGAGGTGCTGTTACTCCTTCTGACTTTATTGTATGTGCATGTATACATGTGTACACACATACACAGAGACACACCCAAGTCTTATATTTAACAGTAAAATTACTGCCTTACTGAAGGTTCCATTAAAAGAAAAGAAAAAAAAAAAAAAGAAAGAAAAGGGAATCTATTGGCCTAAGCCATCATTTCAACCAACTTTTGAGGCTTAGGCCCAATGACTCAGTTCCTCATGCAAAGAAAATAAGAGAATTGTGTGTGTGTGAGAGAGAAAGATGACAGTAGGAGTCTTATGATTGGGTATGCTAAATGTTTTAATGAGAAATCCAGTTTTGACTCAAGAAAAAAATATAACAACTAACATTTATTGTGCGTACATATAATATGCTGCCACAGTGTTTCATATCCCTATCTTAGTTGCTTCTCAAAACAGCCATGTATGTAGTACTATTGTTATCATTACTTTACAAAAGGAAAAGCAGGCCAAATGGAGTAATCTAACTTGCCGAAATTACCCAGGTGATAAGTGAGCTGCCTTTACCGAGGTGCAGAGTGCTCTTATAAGCAAAGGCACTTTTGTGTGAAAGTGCCTCCCCAGGAGAGCAGCAGACGTTCTCTGATATGTTAGGGCATGGAGGAAACCGGCTGTCATTCATCTCAGAAACAGGCATGCCCACGTGTCACCTGTACCAGCATTGGCTGAGGGTGCTCTTCTCAGGCCCTCCTTTCTGCCTTAGTGCGCGTGGTCCTACTACTAGAGGGAAGTTCTGAGGGCAAAGGGACTGTCCTGTTTACCTTAATGCTTCCAAAGCCTGGCATATCTTGGGATTGAGAACAAGTCATAAGGAAGAAAATTGTGGCACTGGCTGGTTTGGCTCAGTGGATGGAGCGTCAGCCTGCGTGCTGAAGGGTCATGGGTTTGATTACAGTCCAGGGCACATGCCCAGGTTGTGGGCTTGATCTCCAGTGTGGGGCATGCAAAAGGCAGCCGATCATTGATTCTCTCTTATCATTGATGTTTTTCCCTCTCCCTTCTTCTCTGAAATCAATAAAAAAATATTTTTTTTAAAAAAGAAAGAAAATTATAAATTTTGTATTTAGAGTAAGGTGACCAGATTTTAACATTGGTAAAGCAGGACACCATTAACCAGGGGGCGTGGGGAGGGGGTTCTTGATTAAAAATTTGGTTTATATGGAGCAACAAAATTTTCATAGAACGCAAAAATAGTATTGTAATATATATTTTTAAATTTCAACATAAGTACAATTTACAAATATAA